ACTCTACTTTGAAACATGAATGAACTTAAACAAGTGTACACTCTGCACCTTCCTTACTTTTTTAATATTCATCAAGATTGATTTTGGCCAACAAGTCAATCCATTACACTTAAATACAATTAGTGAAATAATTCACCAACAAACCTCCCCCATCTAAGTGTAATCTTGATTAACTTAAAAAGAAAACATAACAACAACAAACTGGTGCATAAATGAAATATCGTGTCGATTGAATTTCACATTAGTATATTACCCATTCCAAATATTCGAGTATTAGGGTGTCACTAACGATTGAATCCTTTCTATTCAAAGTGAATACGTGAAAATAATACATATAACAGTTTACATTCTAATAAGCTTTAACTTGGAACTATATTTTACTAGCTTGTGTCCCGTCCATCAATAATCAAATCAAAGTTAAGTCTCAAGTTCTTGAAGCAGCTAAACTGTAACACCAAAACTTTTAGAACCAATTTTTCATTTTAAAATCATAATATTCCCAGAAGACATTACAGAAAAATCACATTTATTTAGTTTATAAAACACAAATCCATAATTGTTTAATTAAAATTCCAGGATCTTCGAAACATAAGTCTATCTATGTTGTGTACAATCAAGCTGGTGCCTTCCCACGATTCTGAGAAAACCTGAAACACATATCACATAACACGGTAAACATGAAGCTTATTGAGTTCCCCAAAACACCACAGACATATATTAGCCACTCGAGGCTATAACTATGTAAGACCTTCCGGTCAATGTATCTCAGTGGGACCATCTGGCCCCACAACTCTGGTAGACCTTTCGGCCCTACCATGAGTTTCCTTTCAGCCCCAAACTCTGACTTGCCTTCCGGCCCGAAACTCTAATTGCCTTTCAGCCCTAACTCTGTTGACCTTCCGGTCCAAAAACATACAACATATACATATCACATAAAGCCACATAACTCATATAAGTACATACGACCTTCCGGTCAAATATTATATAAAGTCTCATAACTCATAGATACACATAAGACCTTCTAGTCACACATAGTTACCATTCTAGGTAAAGTATAGTGAGAAGACTCACCTTGAAAGCAACCAAGCGATAGCCTCGCACTCAGAAATCTCGACCTAGCTTCCGCCTAACACATAGGATAAACATTTCTTAGCAATACATACTCATACTCAAACATACCCAAGCCTATTCTTTTTCTTTGTCCAACTCTTGACGTAGATAAAAGACCATTTTACCCCTCAATGGCCTCCATTACACATAGTTAAACCAACCCTAAAGTTAACCGAAGTCGAACTCGAGTCTATAGTCCAGATTTGACCCGACTCAGTGAGTGCACCCTTGTGACTCGTCTAGTCCACTCACTTTCTCAGAAGTTTTGCGAAGACTCGTATCAACTTGTCGAGTTGACCCCACAACTCACCGAGTTAATACGCGATTCAGCTCGATCAGGAAAACCCTACCCAACTCGTCGAGTCGGCTCATTGACTCGATGAGTCTATCCAGTCTCATTCTTATTTAGACGATTTCAACTAGATCTATCACACTAAACTATAGATCTATCATCTCAAGGCTCAATAATCACATAAAGCTTTGATCTTTTACGTTCATGCATGATGCTATTGCTTCAAAATGCCATTACATGCTCTTCGTGAAATATTTAGCTCATCAACCCTCATTTGGACAACTAAAGCTAGGGCATCTAGTCTTCAAGGACCTCACAAGGTTTAGATCTGAGGTTGCCCACCTCAAATCATGTCTCAATTAGCTCATAGGTACAAAAAGAAGGGGAGTGAAACCCTAAAACTCTCAAGATCAAGAGGCCTAATCAAAATAGATGAAAAGGATGCAAGCGTATACCTTCTACAACAACCCCACATGATGAAGTGCTAGATCCACAACCCCTATGTTGTTTCTTGCTTGATTCAAACTCTTTTCCTTCCAAAAGACCCACCACATTACTTGATTTCATCATAAGAACTCTCTCATGGCTCCAATGGCGATCTAGAGTTTCTCACACGAGGTATGGGCAGATGGTGAGGCGCATCTTATGTTATAAGTTCTCGTAAATAGGCCCTAACCCAGAAAACTTAGGGTTTTCTCTACCCAGGACCTACTCGACGAGTCAGTCCTCTGACTCGTCGAGTCCACTCATTAAATCCAAGTGGGCAACTCGACACGACTCGGCGACTCAGACCTTCGACTCGTCGAGTCTCTCCTTAATCCCCAAAATTGAAACACAAAAATATTATTCCTGAAAATCCAGATGTTAAAAATCTCCCCCACTTAATTTGATTTCGCCCACAAAATTGCTCTTTAACATTACACAGGTCACAACCCAAAAGCCCATGAAGCACCACTTAATTTGATTTCGCCCACAAAATTGTTCTTTCAAACACGGAGCACCAGGTCAACACCCGACCCACTATTGAACTCCCAAAGGTCACCTCATAGAACTCCGCAAAACGTACCACTGACTTCTTTCTCACAATAACTATCTCGGCCCATTGTGACACGCAAGTCACAAAGCTTGCTCTTTAATCAAGAGAATACTGCCAACCCCCAGAATTCAACACCCTCGGTCTTTGACTCTCGAGCTTTCCCTTTAATCAAGCTTGCCCTTTAGCTCTATGTGTCCTGAGGTCCTTCACATATAAACGAACCATCCCCACACATGTCTAAATTATAAGATGATACACAATACCCATAACAAGGAACCCATCGCTAAGCTCGAAATCTCATCTCGTCTTCATATTATACCACTAGATCCAACTCAAACTCGAGAGTCTAGCCTGCCGCGAAATTAGAGCCACTCGACCCAACGCAGCACTCAACTCATAATCCATGACTCGTAACTCTCGCTTACAACATTACATCCAATTTATTATGATTGCTATTACCACACCGAAGCTCTGAATATGATAACATCCGACCATTAGGGAGACCCCCGTCTCACCCATGGCCTGACCACCAGGCCCACAGACCCAAAGATTAGGTTACCCATGCCTAAGAACTCTTCTGTGTCATGCTCTGACTAGTGAAGAATACGGCTCCCCATAGTTCCATAATGCTCTCTCTTACTGCTTAGCGAATACTACGGCTCCCCATAGTATCACCACAACTTCTCTCTGATTGGTGGACATTACGGCTCCCCGTAGTATCACCACACCCTTTCACACTAACTCATGGATGCTGCAGCTCCCCGCATTCTTACAACACTTCCTCTTACCACCCGCACGATCTCATCCTCAATCGATGCTATAATGCGTTCACTAACTCTTGTTCCATGGCCCAACCTTGATAGGTGTGCACACACCCATCCAAAAGTAAGCATTCACTACTTCGGACAGCAACCGCCATAACAAAACTCCTTTTCTCGCTGCAATCCACATTCTTAAACAATCTTGTTTGTCATCAATTTGCCAAAGGGCTCCCACTGGAACCATAGATACTTGCTACCCATTTTCCATCTCGTAACTCAGAACTCAAAATAATATGGAATTAAGAACATCATACTCGGATACCTCGTTACACCATCACAGAATCTCACGATGTTCTGCCTCAACCACTGATCTCACACTCACGAAATCATACTCAAATACTGCATTGCTCATTCAGAATATCACAACGGATCTTCCTTTCGCATTACTTGTAACCTCAAAGTATTCCATTTCCAATTTGAAACATAGAGGCTTCGTTAATGGTTCAAAACACGTTGACGAAAACCCAAAGCTCCACCCTCTACTGATACTACCCATACAGAAATACTCATGTCGATCCTGAAATTGGTTGACACATCATTTGCTGCCCTTCTTGGGGTATAGATCACAATCTATACCTACACTTGTAAATCTATGCTATTGCACCCTGAACCCAGCAACCCCATCACACTCGAACTCAACATACGTAATTTCTAAAAATCCCAAGTCACAATGAATTCTCCAATCAATGGTCACCTACCGGGGATCCACTCGTCCTTTCCTAAGCAAGTACTCGTAAATTTTCCTATCTGACACCTTGGCTCATCCTTCACTAGCTCAGGTCTCATATGTCCGAACCATGGGTTCCCATAACCATTTTTATGACCGCACTTGAATGGATCACCGATCACCTTTACTAGAACACAAGTTATCCCTCACTCAGGGTTCGAAGCATCACCAATTGGCACGAACACAATCTACTCATTAGACTATCCCACCAGGTATGTCACACTTGACTCTTGAATATATAACGCAATCATCCCAAGGACTTCCCTAAGGAAACCAAACAATTCCCAAAAATCCCGTCCCTGACAGCATCTCAGAATCCTCCCCATATAACTACATCAAGACAATTCGAGGCCTCAAACTGATACACAACCGACAACCCCACTGTTCCGAATCTAATCTGTCTCAAATCCTGAAATATTGCCCTCTCACACACTTTGACTCTAACTCTTCACCCCGCTTACCAAATTGGGTATAATCATATAAGCACATACCTCATCCGCATCATCGATACACAATGTAGACCACGAGGGTCACCACCCTAATAAAATCATCTCATCCACTGGAAACTAACAATAACAATGCACCATTCCCAACAAAGCACCTCCTTGTTCCCAACCATCGTAGCCCCACTAATGACTCACTCATGGGATAAGATTATTTGTCACAACTTACCGCCCAAACATTCTGGTGAAAACATTACAATCCTTTGCTACCCTCACAAGGTCCACCACCAATTCTGAAACCGGAATCTCATTATTCCCTTCTGCTTCTCACAAAAAATAGTACAACTCTGATCACCAAAAGTGGCCTCTCTGCTATCAGCCGACTACTCAGCTCAGACCGCAATCCTCCATAAGGCATCACTTCTATTCATCCCTGAAACTTGTGACTCCATTTAACCTCTTCACAAAATTTCATGAAAACCACTCGATTTTCCACCCTCCTTAAGGTACATTCCATTGGAACTTGTTCACATGGCCCTTTGGGCCCACACTAAACCTTCCAGTCATGTGATCAACATTCCACCATACAAAGGTGACCGCTAACGACCTTTCCTGCCCGGCTTGCTAAAAAGTCAGCCACATGCCAAGGAATATCAATAAGCTCATTAGAAGTAATGAGGCTCCACAAATAAAAGATACCCAAACATAGGAATTTGTCCCCCTCTTGCCTTTGGTTGAAGGTATTAGTAATCAATCGGTGCAAGAAGCGATGAAGAGGAGACCGAATTTCACTTTCTTGGGTTGTCCCTGACTGGTAGACCCCATTGGCAATGTTGGGCCAGTAGTGATGTTCCTTGAACTCTTCAGCTGAATTGAGACATTGAGCAATAAACTCAATGTATGATTCAATATGAACATCAGACTGTAAATAAAGCTTCGTCCTTATAACAAAGTCCGCCAAACTTAATTCTATTCTTTCTCCACCTAAGCAAAAAAGTGATGTTATTTCTATCATGGATGCCTATTTTCTTGCGGAAATGTACAGTAGCCGAAAAGTCCACACATAACTATGGAACATGTCAAAAGTCACAATTAATTTGAACCTTTAAAAATAATCCATTTACTAATAAAAGTGTTTAAAAAATCGTTGTTTCCAAAATATTATTCAAAATCAGAGTCTCCCTAGATCAACAACGTAGAATCAGGATGTGTACGGTCACGACTTCGCCTTGACACTGTCCTCTTAAGAACCTGAAACCATGATATCAAAACTATAAGCAATAAGCCTAGTGACTTCCCCCAAAGTACCAAAACAAAAAGTACATATCATTTACAAACAAGCATGTTGGGTCCAATCAATCATCGTACTAGAATACGCACGAGTCTACAACCATCATGCTGGATTTCTCCCTGGCCCAATCAATCATCGAATGGAATACCCTCGGGTTGACAACGATCGAGTTGGATTACCCCTGGCCTAATTAGTGATCGGACTGGAATGGCAACATTCAATAGGTGCATCAACCATCACGATGGAATACCAATATACAACGGGCCCACTCAGTCATCAGACTGGAATACCCTCGGGTCCACAGTCATCGGGCTAGATTACCCATGACCGAAACAGTAATCGGATTGGAATGCAATTATACATTAGGTCTATTCAGTCTTAAGACTAGAATACTAATATACCATGGGTCCACCAAACCATCAGACTGGAATACCCTCGTATCTACTCAGCCATCGGGCTAGAATACCCCGGTCTGTATCCCCACTCACATAGCAGCAGAGTTCCAACCTAATACCATAGCATGTCAACATATACATAGTAGAAAAACACATAACTATTCAATAGGAAAACATGCAGTTCTAACATATCAGTAAAGAATAACAACATCCTATATACCATGATACAAATCTAAGAGATCACTATACCATAACTACATTTGGTAAACCAGGATATCAATCTAATAGCTCGACCTTGGTGCCTTCAACCTGTAAGTACAGTGAGGAAAACTCATGTGTCAATCGGAACAATAGTTAATGAGGTCCTGACTCCAAATCTCAGCTCTAACTATCACCTATTCATCCAAATGGCCAATTTTCAAATACAATTCAAAATACTCAAAATACCCTTAAGTCAAACTTGGTCAAAGTCAACAAGTCAACATAGACGAGTTAACTCAGGTCTCGTATGCGGGGCGTACTCTGGAGATACATGGGGCGTACAAGTGTTTGAGGCATCAACGCATATCTGCGAACACGCAACGTACCATGCAGTACACTTAATGTATGCAACTTCCCTATTCTTAACCCATTCAACCCTTATTTCTTCTACATAATGTTTCTAATTACAGATCCATGGATAAAATATCCTCAAGAGAGATAAAATTTCCAACTTTATCACTTTTCATGTCCACTCAGTGCCCAACACCAAAGATCATAACCTTTTAAACCATGAGGACCACGCATGGGAAGAAACTAGTGCCCAAGATTACATTTTTATGATTCTAAAGGCTCCAAAACCTCTGAAAGGACAATTCAAATGGATTAGAGTAACCCCTACTCATAATACCAATCTTAGGGGAATAAAGAACATAAAATAAAGTCCAAAAAAAATTATAAGTATAAGTTCACCAAGTTCAGAACATTATACCTCCAAGAGATGCCAAACGACATTGTGACAATAGATCTAAAGTTCTCCGCTCCTCCAAGATGGTCTCTATATTCTTCCTCCTTTTTCAAAACCATAAAACACACGAACTCATGCTCTAAAATGCTCACAAGGTAGATTAGGTTTGCAAAAAAAAATGTTTGAGAGGATGAGGCTGATGAAAGGAACCAGGTTTGAGAGTTATTGAAGAATAAATAGGGTCCAAACCCTAAATATTAGGTTTTAGGACATCACTCCATACGCCCATCGTACGTGCTCCGCCCTATAATTCCAAAAATGGCAATAATACTCCCTCCCAGCTACAAATCCTATATTTTAGGAGCCAAAATGTAATAGATCTCAATGTCAAGGGTTAAAATGCAAAAAATTCTCATACAAAGGGGCTAAAAGTTAAATACTTGAAAATCAAGATGTTACAAATTCCTTGTACACTAGTTCTTGAATGCGAAAGAGTTATCTCTAAGCCATACAAACAAAGAGACCTTGAACCCAGTGAAAAGATTTTGTGAAATAAGGTTCAAGGGCCTCAGACAAGACAACCTCATCCACTCAAGTCCAACTAATTTTCGTAGGTACATGCACTCTCTGTTCTTTTAACTAGCCCAAGTTCTCGTTCCATTAAACCATCACTTCGGGAGCTACAACATTCGAGAAAGAGTACCCCAGGAAATTGAGATAACTCATAGGTTGATTTCTACGACCTCGACCCTGCATTATCTGCAAAATAAACATAGAACACAATTCAAAACAAAAAATTAAAAGTTAGGAAAAAATAGTCAAAATAGGTTGAATTAACAATGACCACGATGAGCACCACGACGAGTCATCATGGTCGCGTACAATTCGCAAAATTGGGACTGAAATCAAACGAATGCAAACCATTATATCTCAAATCAATTTTAGGCTTTACTTAGGCCATAAACATATGTGTTTTGGAGTAATGTTCATAGAAAAAACCATCAAAATCAAGCCCTAATTGAATCAATTTTTAGATCACTAACTAACTAAATCCCTAAATAAAGGTTCATGTCAGCAAATTCATGCCATAGATGCAGTACTACTCGATTATTAACTTTGAAAAACACTTAAAATCATACCTTTTGTTGGAGAAAGTCGAAATTTGAAGAAAGCTTGGAGGATTAACTCATGGGATAGCATGCACGACATGAGTGATGATGAATTGTAAAAAGAAAAGTCTACCTTTGTAGTTTAAAAACCCTAAAAATCGACCGCGGTGTACAGTTACCACATCGTGTTTTGGGCACCACGTCATGGTGTTTTTTCCAAAATCATTCTGTCAAGTTTTGTGAAGTCACCATGTTGTGGTAAATAAAATAATTTATTTTGGGATAAGCTTCTAAAAAACATCCTCCCCACACTCATTCCATGCTTTCACTCTCAAAAAAATCCACATAAAAATTTAGAGGAGTGAGAATCCAACAAAATAAAGGAAAATAAGCAAATAAACGAAAATAAAGAAAACAAAAGAAAATGAAAGAAAGTGCAAACTCTAAACAACAGGTTGGCTCCTGAAACCACTTCTTTTTAGGGAGTCGTGAATCGGCATCCATTCCTTTTAATGCTTTATCAGATGTCTATTAGCTCATGTGGTTACTGCAAATATCAAGGTTTCTCTTTTAGTTTCCTCAATCGGCATCCATTCCTTTTAATGCTTTATCAGATGTCTATTAACCTTAAAAGGAGTTCCATGTTTTGCAATTAACTCTATAGCCCCATGTGGAAATACTTGATTCATAAAAAAGGTTCGTCTCAACATGTCTGTAATTTCCCAGGAAAAAGCTTCATTCTTGAGTTGAAAAGGAGAACCTTTTGTCATTCTTGAAAATCTTTATATCCTTTCAACCTTGCATCATGCCATTTCATCGTTTTGTCTTTGTAGATCAAACAAATTATGCATGCTAATTCATTTCTCAATTCCTCTAGGGATTCATTTTTATTAGACAATAGGTTCGTAGTCCGGTGAACTCAAAATTGCAAGTCTTCAAATCCCCAAATGCCTTGTGTTCAATTTCTCCTACAAATGACTATTTTTTCCAAAGACGAACCTATATGGTGTAATCCCAATAGGTGTTTTAAAGTCGGTACGAAATGCCCACAACACTTCATCTAGTTATTCCAACCACTCCTTCGTGTTGCTACCAACCAATCGCTTAATAATTCTTTTTAATGACCAATTTGTGACTTTGGTTCGACCACTTGTTTGCGGATGGGAGGGTGTTGCAAATCTATGGTATACACCATATTTTTGTAACACTTTGGCTAGTTGTTTATTTGAAAAGTGAGTTCATCGAACACTTATTAGAGCCTTTAGTACACCAATATTAGAAAATAATCTCTTTAGAGCTCTTAGCACCACTCGAGCGTCATTTTTAGGTAAGGTTTGTGCTTCCACCCATTTCGAGACATAGTCAACCACCACTAGTATGTACTTATTCCTTCGATAAATTAGAAACAGTCCCATAAAATCGATACCCTAAACATCAAATACTTCATAAACTTGGATGCTATTTTGTGGCATATCGTTTCGGGATGAAATGTTGCCCGACGATTAGCATGAATCACATTCTTTGAAAAATTTGGTGGCATCCTAGAAAATGTAGGCTAATAGAACCCCAAATAGAATACCTTCTTTGCAAGGTAACTGAGAGGACCTTAGATCAAACAATTTATCAAAGAATGACTATTAACAACAACAACGAAGTTTCACAAAGAACTTTCACTAAGAATAATAATCTCACAAAGAGATTATCGAATGCACAAAGCGACTATTAGGGTTTGTGAAAGATGTCTCTCACAAACTTGTACAAAAGACTATATAGAATTAATCTAGGCAATCCCTACAAATCAGGGATATACCAGCTAACTAATAGACGATAACTATGGAAACAAGATAAGTACTAAATCTGTTACAAAGTTCTAAATATAAACTATACACTGACTAATTAATACGCTGATGCTGACGCTGAATCATACGCTGACGCTGAGTGATCGGTTTCAAACATCATCATATTATAAGGTTCGACCTTACAATCTCCCCCACTATGATGATGTTCAAAACCAGCTAGACTAGAACACCTCTGGACAAAAATTCTTCATACTCAACTTCAGCTTCTACTTTCACTGGGCAGTAAGGACTATCCAGCAGCTCCTGTCTTAAACCAACAAGATGTTCTGTTGGAGCCCTTGGAATTTCTGTAGTACGCTGAAAATACATTTTCCTGTTCTTATCAAGATAAAACATTCCATGTTCAGGAATATAGATGAACTTATGTTGAACCGGCTCAACACCGATAGGAAGAGAGTTGTTTATTCCTTCAGCACCAAAATTTAGAACCAATACATCTTCACTATCAACTTGAAATCTAGTTCTTCTGATTCTTGGAACTGAGGAACTTGGGCCTTGCTGCTGAGGACGCTGTGTAGGAACAAGATCAAGAAGCTAAACTTTCTTGATCAGTAAGTGAAGAGCACAGGTCAGTTCTGAAGAAAGAGCTGAGGTTTGCTTGGATGCTAATTTGAGCAACTCCATCCATTCAGAGTATCCGTATCTGATCAACTCGTCTCTCTTGACAATTTCAGTGTACGGATGTTGAGGACCTTGATGAGTGATCAGCAAAGTAAGAATTTTCTCATTACGAGGTTTTGAGGCTTTAACTTTGATGATCTTATCACTGCTCACTCTTCGTTTAAGAACATCTTGAAACCTCTTGCGATCAATCCTGTCAAGAATACTATCAGTCCTTGACTTACTGCTACTAGGAGGAGGCCGTGAAGATTTACATTTGGACTGATATTCTAAAAACCTTTGCATCTGAGCTTCAAATGATCCTTTGGCCTGAAGCTTGTGCTGAATGAGGGATTCATCAGCTTGAGCAATATTCTTTAGAAGTTGAGCTTTATTGGCTTCATCAAGTATTTGCTTAACTTGATCAAGAGACATGTTCCATTCAGCTGCCAAATTGGATATGCTGACAATGGACTTAGATTTCTTGCTGGGAAGAGAAGTGTCAGTATGTGAATAAGATAATTCAGTATCTGCTAACTTGCGCTTGCGAGATAAAGATTGCAGATCCTCGCTAACTACATCTGATTCTTCTCCTTGAACTATCACAGTGGGGTCAATGAAGTTCATGTCTAGCATCTGACACTCATCATCATGTTCATCTTCATCATCATCTGAGTCTTCTCCTTGAACTGGCACAGTGGGATCAATGAAGTTCATATCTAGCATCTGACACTCATCATCATGATCATGCTCACTATCTTCAGTAAGCTTTTCAGTTTCTATTGGTCTCTCAGAGTCGTGCATAGGCTGTGGTGGCTCGATCTGGTTTAAAATGTTCTCTTCAGATCCTAGCTCAACAGAATCAGTTTCTCCCGCTTTTTGATCATCATCATCATTTGGGCCAGGGGAAGGAGCTGACAGAAGAACTCCCTTCAGTTGGTTGACATCGGCATCAATACGTAGAAGACGCCGACTCATGTCTCGAGTCAGTGTAAGAAGCTCATTAAACGTTGAGGCCGGGATTTGAATGAGCTGAGTACCTGGAATTTATTGTGATCGATGCTGCTCCCCCTGAGATGGTGACATCCCTTGTGATGGTTGCTCCCCCTGAGCAGATGGTTGCTTCCCCTGAGATTGTTGCTCCCCCTGCGCTGAGTGAACCCTTTCAGTAACAGAAATAGTATGATGAGAAAGTTGAGGGGAGATATGACCATCGTCTTGCATTTCAACTTGTAGATCAGCATGAATTTCGTTGTTATCATTAGCTCCTTCATCAATGTCAGCGTTTAGTGAAGGAACGGTATATGGATTTTCGATCCATTCTCGCATCCGATCAAAGATGCCAATGTCATTTGCTAGTGGATCATCCTGATACATTCGTACTGACATGCGTGGGCATTGGATGGGGTTTCCAGAGTGGGAGTAGTAGGCTTCAGCGAAAAATTTATCCAGAACAAGAGCAATCCAGCGTGGAAATGGACATGATCAGCTCGTACATTGGCACAAAGAAGTTGGACTAGCTGATCAAAGAAGAAGGCCCCATAATCAAGACGTTTGCTGAGAAGAAGGGAACATACAACTTGTTGCTCATAAGTACTCAGTTGATCACCACTACGAGATTTGTGACCCACACATTTGCAAAGTGCCCCGGTGAAAAACTTCCATCCTGGAGTCATACATTGACGCAGAATGAGAGCTGATCGATCACCAACCTTCGATTGATCATAGCCCAGTTGATCAAAGACGCTTCGATAGTGTTCAATAGTTGGAAGCTTAGAGAATGGTTCAAAAATTGGTAACCTGAGTGCAGCACTGAGGAGATCAGCGGTGATAAAAACTGAGCGATGGCCACGCCCAATAGTCCCGGAGATGACGTTGTTTTCATCATTAACCGTTGCGGTGTAGTAGAACTCACATACTTTTTCGGGAAAGAACTCTGATGGAACCTCACTGATAGCGTATCGAAGTCTGCAGGATACTAAAAAATTGACAAAATCATCAAGTCCAAGACCGCGATGAACATCTGGTATATTAGGGTTGAAAACGACATTTGTGGCTTTGATGTATATGGGAAGAGGAGGAGAGTTTGGAGCTGGGACGACTCTTCTTGTAGTGGAGGAGAAAGTAAACAATGATGCCGCCATTGAAGAGAGTTTTGGATTTTAGGGTTTTGAAGAGAGAGAAGGAAGTTTAAATGATGGGAGGAAGGTTTGGGAGAGAGGTAGAAATAGTTTACATATGGGATTAAACGGTCTTTTAAAAAAAGGTAATGATTATCTTTATCGAAAATAAATGCGTATCTTAACAGACTGTCAAATCAAAAAAACAGCCGTTGGGTAAAAAGTGCCATTGTACTAAAGAGGAAACGACAATCAGTGTCTGCAGAAGCGCTGAGATCAGTGTCACGAAAAGTTACATGCTGAGAGATAGTCTGTCGTCAATTCAAGGTACAACTTGCTTGTTTAAGGTTAGCAAGGTGGTTGATGCGTGTGATAGATATTGGTTTGATTATCTAACCATCAGCACAGAGTATTGAGTCTTTATCAGTGAGTGGTGCTTCTTACTGAATCATTAGACACTAAGTGAGAAGAAGGTGAAGATAGGATTGTTGCGTGTGATAGACCTTGGTGTTTTGGTCTAACCATCGGCAAAGACTGTTAGATTCTCATCAGCATGTGTTTTGTCACACTGAATGTAACGACGTAAATTTTAAAACCAATTTTTCATTTTTGTAAACATCAAAAACATCGATTAATATTTCAAATTCAAACGTGAACAATATTATCACAATAAAATACATCCCAATGATCATAAAATAGTTTTTCCCCGACAATGTGTACGATCACGCCGACGCCTTCCCACAGTCCTCGCTAGTACCTGAAACACATAACACAACAACTGTAAGCATAAATGCTTAGTGAGTTCCCCAAAATACAACTGACGCACATACGGCTTTCCAGGCCGTGACCTTCCGGTCCATGTGTCTCAGGGGACTTCCGTCCCGACTAGGTAAACCTTCCGGTCCTACCCACGTCAACCTTACGGTCCACATCACAACGCCTTCCGGCCCATAACATATTCTCCTTCCGGCCCATAACATAATGCCTTCTGGCCCATATCAAGCATATCATACATGGCACATATAACAAATAACTTATCACACATAATACATATATCTCATAACATATCCGACCTTCTGGTCACACAGTCAAACCCTTCCGGGTACAATATAGTGAGAAGACTCACCTCGTGGAAAGTCTAAGATCTTGCATCCTTGCTATCACCGAATCCCAATGACGACTCTACCTCGCCTAAACATAAAAATATCATTTAATACACAAAGACTTCCACCACTAAAACTTTACCCCTTATCATCATTCCTCAGAGGGTAAAAGACCATTTTACCCTTCCTTGACCTAAAGTCCTCATGTTGACCAAAACCCTAAAAGTCAACAAAAGTCAACCCTGAGAGTACGTGGGGCGTACATCGCCAATCCCTTGGATCGGGGTCTCCACCCAGTACGCTGCGCGTACTGGAAGTTACGCCCAGCGTAACCATCAGAAACAAACACTCTTCATTTCTGGTCTTAATCGGTTAAGCCATTACTCCAACTTCTAGATCCGACTCTTTTAGTGTGCCTAAACCCATAAAGTCGAGACCTTTAAGCCTTGGCATGGCTGTAAAGGCTCCAACATCACATAACAACATTCTATTCGAACTCAAGGACCTAGATCTCATGCATGGTGCAATATCGACATCCAAGATGCCATTTTTATGAGTCTACAACTCCAACATATTAGAAATATGAAGTATCTAAGCCTATGGAGGTCATTTGCATAAAAAGTCTCCACCTTTGGGACTTAAACCCTAGAAAATGATACTTTAAGCACGCAACATGAACCAAGTGACAAGATCCGAACTTTTTACCTGATAATGAATCTTTAACCCTTGCAAAGCTCAGATCTACACTTGAGCACCACTTCTAGCCTTTCCAATGAGCTCTTCTTCTCCTTTGCTACCTTGGAATGGCACCACCAAGCTTAGAATACACACACAAAGGCTTAAGAACGAAGGCACACACTATTTAGGGTTTCACTCTGAGGGATGGTGGCTGAGAAGTCCACCCACACATTCCTTTTATAGCACTCCAAAGAGATTAGGGTTTTTAGCTCTGGGCAAGTTACGCCATGCGTAACCTTGGGTACGCCCAATGTACCTGAGGGGGAACGCGTCCAAATAAGGCGTGCGAGTACGCGCAGCGTACACCTTATACGCCCAGCGTACTCGCGTACCATGAAAACCCTAAATTAAGAACTTAACCAAGATGCAAGGCGAAAAGAAGAATACATGGATTTCGGGCTGTTGCACTGAATCACAAAATCAGTGTAAGATTGGTAAGAAAGGATAGTTGCATGTGATAGACCTTGGTGTTTTGGTCTAACCATCGGTAAAGACTGTTAGACTCTCATCACCATGTGTTTTGTCACACTGAATCACAGAATCAGTGTAAGATTGGTAAGAAGGGATAGTTGTGGTGTGATAGATCTTGGTGTTTTGTCTAACCATCGGCAAAGACTTTCAAGTTGTTATTAGTGTATGGTTTAATACAGTGAATCATTCAACTTTAGTTTAGAAGATTTGTAGAAGAGATAGAGATAAGAGATCATACAATGTACTCAGCATGGTAAACATCATCAACACATCATCATCAGCAAAAAAAAAAATACATTAGTTTATAAGACAATAGCAAACATTAGTAAAACATTTTCAATCCAGAGTGATCATTCCATGTTCTCTATATGTTACTGCAGGACCAATTTTCATGACATAGTCTTCCAGAAGAGACTTGGATCCTGTCATATGTCTTGAGCAACCGCTGTCTAAGAACCAAAGATGCTCTTGACTCTGCAGTGCTGAGAAACTAGTTAGAACACACTGACCCATTGTAAGATGGGTCATTCACAAAGTTATTTGAAAATATATTATAGCACTCTTTAGGAAGACAGTTCAAAGAATTTGATTTAAGAGTCCATCTTTCATTTCTAACTTTGATGTTGCCAGCTCTTAACGATATCAAACTTGCATTCACTGATCTTCTAAGATGTGTCACCACATCTGTAACAAACTCTAGTGCCAAAGTTTTTCTTGGTAAGCAGATTTCTAGATTTAACACATTTGGATTTCAAAGATTCACCAATTGAACTTTGAGTCCTTTTATTTGACATTGAATTACAACAGAATTCAGTGTCAGAAGAACTATGATCAGTGATGGATATGGAGCTGACATCAGTATCAAATTTAGACTCATGCACTGAAACACTGCAATCAGGATAATGTTTAAGTTGTTCATGAACACCATGAAACACTCCGTTTGAGATAGGAAATGCGATAATATTTTCAGTGAGAGGAATTGGTCTCTCAAGATGTGCAGGGTAATAAGTAGGATCAATTCCGGTAATTTCAATATTACACTCAATAACACCATTAGAATCAGTAACACAGTATTCATCAATGAGACTCTGATTAACAAAAGTGTTGCTGATAAATTGGTTTTTGAAACTATCTTTTAATTCATTCATGGAATAAAATTCAAATTCCTTTTCTTGAGATTTAAAAAACTTTTCAGCTTCAGCAAAATTTCCCCCAAGGATTTTCTCACATGGATGAGGAATTTGAGCAGAAATAACATAATTAGCATTTTTGTGAGATTTAGCCCAAAGTTTTAAAACAGTTTGTTCTTTGTTCAAGAGGTCTTTAACTTTATAAATTTCAGCAGATAACGAGGAATTTGATAAACTAGTAACTCTTAGATTTTCCTGAGTAGTGTCAATAATGTTATTTTTCAAGGATAGTTCAGTTTTAAGAAGATCAATTTGATTCTGCATATCTCTTATGATTTGATTCTTCTTAGAATTAAGAACACCCAAATACTCAAACATTTTGATTTTTTTCATTCATTGAATATGAAACAAAATTTTGAACCTGATACATTGAAGGGGAATTAGTGTTGTGCTTCCTGGAGTTTTCAACTGCATCAGACATATCAACATCAAACGAACTGTTGCTGACTTCACATTCATCAATATCTTCTATCGTAGCCGTCAGACATTTAACTTCATCATCTGATGACTCCTCATCAGTCTTCCATTTTTCTTCTTCAGCGACAAGAACTTTATGTTACAAGTTCTCTGCTGTCAGTTTCTCAACCAACTTGTTGTACTTCTGCTTCCAGTATTCATCCGAGCTTTGGGTTCTTTGCTTGCATTCTTTTGCAAAATGATCAGTGCTACTACAGTTAAAGCATTGAGCTTTCCCTTTCCTTTCAGTAGCATGTTTCTTGTCAACATCTGATCTTTTTGAAGATTTCCCACTCATCTTCTTCTGAAACTTTGAGAAATTTCGGCCTGATTTCTCAAAAGTCTTCAATATTAAAGCCGCACTAGCAACAACCTTTTCCAGATCATCAGTCTCACTTTTAGAAGAATCAGTGTCTTCAATATTAATGCCACTGATGACTCACACTGAGCATCCTTTATCAGCTCCTTTCTCTGAAGCTTGGATTCCTCATAGTATCGAAGGTTTCCATAGAGACTTTGTAAATCCATTGTGCTGATCTTCTCACTATTTTTCAGCACATCAACGTGATTCTCCTAACCTGCACCCAGAGAATCCAAAAACTTCTGCACTAGAACAGTTCGATGCTTCAACTGATCTAGTCTCCGCAGATCATTAACAAGAGTATTAAATCTGTTAAAGGTTTGAGTCAGGGTTTCACCTTTCTTTGCAAAGAAGTGTTCATACCTTCTGTTTAGATCATTTATTTGAGTAGCCTTAACTTCCTCAGTGCCTTCAAAAGATACAGTCAGCGTGTCCATCATTTCTTTTGCTGAGATGCAGTTCTGAACCAGCCCAAAGATATTATATGGCAATGCATAGCTGATGGCAGCCTAAGCACGAACATCGAGACCATTCTTTCTTTTGTCATCTGTTGTCCAGTTTTCTCTAGGTGTTTTCTTCATGACACCATCAGGAACATTGTTTTTCAAGGGCTGATACATCGGAACATATGGACCTTTGTCAATGATGTCCAACATGTTTTCATCTACAGATTCTAATGCATAGAGGGCTTTTATTTTCCACATA